TTCACCAAGTTTGGAAAGTTTTCTGTTGCTATTTCTTCAAATATATTCTCTAACCCTTGTCCATTTTCTACTTTTTTGGGCACATCCGTAATGCGAATATTATTATGTTTTCAGTTGTCCCACAGTTATTTTAACCTGTCTCCCTGTTATTGAATTATTTATTCCTTTTGATTTGTGACTAATTTTTTTTTATTCTGTCCTTTTTTTTTTAATTTTAATTTTTTTTTGTTATAGATGTTTCTCCTTTTTTACCCCATTGACACCCTCTCTCCATCCCCCCCATCCCCAGCTTTGTTTTCCATGTCCATTGGTTATGCATACATGCATACAAGTTCTGTGGTTTATCTCTTCCCACCCACTCCCACCCCCTCTTCTGAGGGATGTCAGTCTGTGCCCTACTTCCATGTTTCTGGGTCTACCGTATTCCTCAGACTGTTATGTTCATTATATTCCATATATAAGTCAGATCATGTGAAGGGACCTGGAAAGTATTATCCTAAGTGAAATAACCCAAGCAGAAAAAGAGAAATACCACATGATTTATTCTGTCTTTTTACTCACTAATTCGGTCCTCTGCTTCCTCTACTCTGCTGGTTAGTCCTTCCAATGTGTTCTTCATTTCTGTTATGCCATTCTTCATTTTTTCTTGGTGGTTTTTCATTTCCAATTGGTTGATTTTCAATGTTTTTATATCTGGACTCATGGTGTTCATGTCCTTACTCATGCTGTTTAGCTTTCTCAAGATCATGGCTCGGAACTGTACCTCTGATAACTTGCTTAACTGCATTTCATTTATCTCATCTTTGGTAGAGTTTTCTTGTTTTTTTTTTTTTTTATTTGTTTCTTTGTTTCACTATTTGGCCTATGTCAGTGGGTTTGGGAGTCTGCTCATTTTTTTCTGTGGGTGTTGGTGTTCTGCTGTTTGTGGCTCCCTCTACTGGTTTGCATGCGTGTGGGAGGGCCCATGTTAAACACCACTGTCAAGTCTTACTTTCCTGGGTATATTAGCAATCCCAGGAAAGTTTGTTATTTTCTAGCTTTTTGCCTGGAGGCTATTAGTCTCAGTTACTCTGGGCCTTAGGTGCCCTCTGCTATTCTGCCTAAGAGGATTTCCAGAGGGTAGAACAGATACTTGTTGTTAAGGAGCCTCAATTTCTATTTCTTTGGCTCACCTGAAAGTGGCTGGTTCTCTGGGGGAGGGGCTGCTGATTTTCCTACAGCTCTGGGAAGAAGCAAGCTGGCCACAGTTATTTTTGGCCATAACTACGCAAAAACTTTGAGCGCCCTCCAAATCCTGGGTGTTCCCACAGAGTTTCAGTTCAGTCCACCCTCCCGCTGCCTGAGCCCAAGGTGAGTGGCTGTGGCCAATTCAGTGCTTTGTTCCAGCCCTCTTTACTATGGGGCCACTTGGGATTTTAACTCAGAGGGTGCTGCTCATAGCTAAGGCTGCTGCTGTTTATGGGCTCCCAGCCCACCACCCTTTCATGCCTCCACAATTCTACCAGTGTCTCTGGTTATATGGTCTTTTCTTGCTGTTTTTCTGTTGCTTTTTTCTGACGATTTGTCTTTATTTTAGTTGTAATTCTTGTTTGGTCCTGTGCAATTGTCTGTGTAGCTTTCATTCACTTTACTGCCATATTTTCCTCCCACATGTTTCTCTCTTAAATCATTGTGCAGAATTTGGTTTTCCTATGACGTGCACTATTATTTACATTTTTAAACTTCCATGTTGTTTCCTCTTTGGCAGTGCCAGAAATTGTTCCATAAGTTACAATATTTGTGAATTTGGATTTTCTATTTGACTGATCAGTGGCCACCCTTTCTGAATTTTTATCTCCATCATTGAGCCCTGTTATGTTTTTCTCCAAGGACCAGAAGGAATAAAGTGAGTTCTGGTATAGGTGGCTTTAGCCCTGTGAGAAATTAACTGGAATTTGACCTCCACTGGGAACTGGAAAAGTAACATCCTTCAGCTGTAAATAAGGAGAGACTGAAGCTTCCTCTTACCCCATAAAACTGTACTGCACCTGGCTAACTCTCTGTCACAAACTTGCTAATTATTGCTTCTTTAACTCTGATTATAAAAGGGCTGAAAGTCTGCTACAAGGTGCTGCAGTTCTCCTCTGAAAAGGTTGGCTGCAGTCCCTGAGCAGGTAATAAAGCTCCTAATATTCAAAATTACTTTGTGTCTGAGTGAGGTTGATTCTCCTGGGTTACAATATTTGGAGGCCCCAGCAAGATCACCGCAAGGTCCCCCTCCCTTTGGTGTAGGCCTCCTTGGACTAGGCGAAGGAAGCCTCCATATCCTTCGCCTCAAATTGGCTTTCCATTTGACCACGAGCTTTTTGGATCCATCCTGGGACTTCTGGAGGTAAGGGAAATACCATTCCTTTCCGTATGTTTTCTGTTGTTTCCTTGAGGAACTGTATCGGGTGTTCGGCAGGAGGGACGCCGCAGAACTGCCTCACCCTGGTCGGGAGGGGATGCCTTCCCGGCTCATGGTTTTGAATCCGCTTGTGGATTCGGTTGGTGTATGAATGAAAGTGGGCATTCACTGCTGTTATTGTCTGTCCTTGTGTTGTTATTGTTGTGTGCTGGCTACTTTTCTTTCCTACAGAATGGGGCAAGCCGATTCAAAAGCCCAAACACCGCTCCAATGCATGCTGAATAACTTCTCTGATTTCTTTAAGCGTTCCTGTGACTACGGGAAGCCAGCAGACCCAGGCTTCCTCAGGACCCTATGTGAATTAGAATGGCTGTTGTTTGGCATAGACTGGCCATCTGAGGGGTTATTTAACCTCTTCCTATTGTTTGCTGTCAGAGCGATGATATATAAGGTTCCACACCCTGACCAACAAATATATGTAAATGTGTGGATAGATATGGCCCATGACAAACAGGGCTATCTAAGAAAGTGCCTAGCACCTTCAAAAATGGAGGGGAAAGAAATAAAAGCCAAAATCGGGGGCCACACTATTATGCTAGCCGTGCGGAGACCAAAAGGGGAATTGCCTCTCAAGCAACCCTCAAAGGGCTCAGAAAAACCCCGGAGGAGTCTGCAGCTGGAGCCACGCCCTAAGAACAGGCTCTATCCGGTGTTGCTTGAGGACTCAGAGGACCCAATCGAGGGGCTACTAAATCCTCCCCCTTATCCACAGGGACCTCCTGAGGCCCATTAATAGGCTCCTCCCCCACATACCCATGGAGGAATCCCTTACAGTAAAAGGGAAGAAATCCCAGACTCCCGGGTTCCAATGTTGCCTCTCTGTGAGGTGCCCCCACAGCCAGGGGCACCTCCAGGACAGCGTTATATCTATGTCCCTTTTTTAACTAGTGATTTATACAGTTGGAAACACCAAAACCTCTCCTTTTCGGAGAAGCCCCAAGAATTAATCTCCTTGATGGAGACTCTTTTCTGTACCCATCAACTGACATGGGGCAATTGTCAAAAGATTTTGCAGATGTTATTTATGTCAGAACAGAGAGGGAGAATATATAGGGAAGTGGCAAAAAGCCTTTTGGGGGAAGGGGAATGGGACACCCAAGCATTCCACCAAGAAATAGAGGAACAACTCCCCACACTTCCCCCTAACTGGGATCCCAACTCCAATGCAGGTCAGGAAGCCTTACGCCATTATTACCAGTCTCTGCTTAGGGGGTCTAAGGGTAGCAGCTAAGGAGCCCATAAACTTTAATAAGATACATGAGGTTTTACAGGGCAGGGATGAATCTCCGGCTGCCTTCCTAGAAAGACTTTTAGAGGCCTACTGGACCTATTCTCCTTTGGACCCAGAAGCAAATGAAAATAAACGTATTGCTAACATAGCCTTTGTCTCCCAGTCGGCCCCAGATATCAGAAAGAAATTACAAAAGATAGAAGGATTTGAAGGAAAGAATCTTAGTGATGTTAGAAATTGCTCTAAAAGTCTTCCAGAACAGGGATGATCCCATAATGGGCCAGACAAAGCAGCTAAAATTCTACTAGCCGCTCAGGGCAGAAAAATAACTCCACAAGGTCACTATAAGAACGGACCCCAAGGAAACCAAAAAGAAAAGAAAGGAAGGCCTCCCCTTAACAAGGACCAATGTGCTTATTGTAAAGGAAAGGGACATTGGAAGAATGAATGCCCCAAGGGGATCATGAAGAAAAAGAGAGAACAGGCTAATGACTCCCCTGGCATCCTCTTCAAGGACCAAGAATGAAGAGGCCAAGGCTTCTACAAACTTGGCCCTCAGGAGCCTACGGTAACTTTGACAATTGAGGGCCAACCGATTTATTTTCTAGTCGACACAGGGGCCACTTACTCAGTACTCAAAAAGCCCCATGGACCCCTTACCTCTGAATGGACCTCCATTATAGGAGCTACCAGGAAGCCCAAACCCTATCCTTGGACACGGGCACAAATCACTGACCTAGGTAAGGGGACTATAACACACTCCTTTCTAGTCATGCCAGACTGCCCCTACCCTCTCCTTGGAAGGAACCTGCTGCAGAAGCTACAGGCCACTATATCTTTTGCAAATGGAGAATCCACCCTATCTATAGGGGAGATACCACAGACAATTATGGTGTCAGTTACCATATCAGAGGAATACATACTATATGAAGGGGACCCTGAGAGACCAAATAACTAGAACCTATTAAGAAAATTGCAGGATGAAATTCCAGGTGTATGGGCCGAGACTAACCACCCAGGCTTAGCTGCACACCAACTGCCAATATTTGTTCAACTCTTGAGTTCTGCTACCTCCATACGGCAATATCCAATTCCCCAAAAGGCTAAGGTTGAGATTGCTAAGCATATCAGAAGACTATTATAGGCAGGTATTCTCCGGTCCTACCAGTCAGCCTGGAACACACCCTTATTGCCTGTGAAGAAGCCAGGGACAGGAAACTATCACCCTGTCCAGGACTTATATGAGGTAAATGTTCGGATAGAAACCATACATCCTACTGTGCCTAATCCTTACACCCTTTTGAGCCTCATACTGCCCTCTAGGACCTTCTACATGATCCTGGACCTGAAGGATGCCTTCTTCTCCCTGCCTTTATCACCTTTGAGCCAACCCATCTTCACCTTTGAATGGACGGATTCTGAGGGGGGATTTTCTGGACAGTTGACATGGACCCGCCTGCCACAAGGATTTAAGAACTCCCCAACGCTGTTTGATGAAGCTCTCAGCAGGGACCTCCTCAGCTTCTGAGAAAGCCATCCACAGGTAAGCCTTCTACAATATGTAGATGACCTCCTTCTCACAGCCTCTTCCTTGCAGGAATACCTAGAAGTGACATGAGCCATCCTAGAGGAACTGCAGAAACTAGGTTACCGAGTATCAGCCAAAAAGGCTCAACTATGCACATAGGAGGTAACCTACCTAGGATACCAACTAAAGGAAGGTAGGAGGTCCCTCTCAAACAGCAGGATTGAAGCCATCCTCCAGATCCCGACTCCAGCCACCAAGAGACAGGTACGGGAATTCCTAGGGGCTATTGGATATTGCCGAATATGGATTTTAGGCTTTGCGGAAATAGCAAACCCACTATATTCCAGAAAGGGCATGAACTTATTTGGACTGAGACAGAACAAAAGGCATTTGAGGAACTCAAAAGGGCCCTAACCTCCGCTCCAGCCCTAGCCTTACCAGAGATCACCCAGTCTTTCCAGCTCTTTGTAGCTGAAACAAGGGGAATTGCAAAAGGTGTCCTAACCCAAACCCTAGGGCCATGGAAAAGGCCAGTGGCCTATCTCTCTAAGAGACTTGATCCTGTCTCTTCTGGCTGGCTAAACTGTATGAGAGCCATTGCAGCCACAGCGCTCTTACAAAGAAACTCAGAAATTAACTTGAGGACAGGACCTGCAGATTATAGGGGACCACACTACAGAAGCCCTCTTGAAGAGCCCGCCAGACTAGTGGATCTCGAATGTGAGGATCACCCAATATCAGGTTCTACTGCTAAACATATTCTAGACTTAAAACTAATGGCTCATTCAGCTGTTGCTAGATGCTTGGCCTGCACCAAAGTAAACGAAGGCCCACCCATATCCCCAGCCTCGGGAACCCGTGGATGCAGATGAGAACCTGGACAACATTGGGAATTAGACTTCACTGACATGAAAATTTAACTACAAATATTTACTTGTCTTTATTGATACTTATTTGGGATGGACTGAAGCATTCCCCACAAAAGGGGAATCTGCTCATATCATCATCAGGCATCTACTCTCTGGGATCATTCTTCGATTTGGCCTTCCCTTAGCATTGGGGTCCGACAATGGTCCGGCATTCATTGCCAAAATATCTCAATTACTAGCAAAAACTGTAGGGATAGATTGGACATTACATTGTATTTACAGGCCCCAGAGTCCAGGACAAGTAGAAAGGATGAATAGGACTCTAAAGGAAACATTAAGCTACACTTAGAGACGGGCAAAAATTGGGTAAGTCTCTGGCCCTTTGCACTAGTGTGCACCTGTTGCTAAACTCACCCCATTTGAAATTATGTTCCGGCGACACCCGCCCATTATACCTAAACTTAGTTCTGTACAGCTTGCTGAATTTCAGAACCGAAATCTCTTAAAGACCTTACAGGCTATTCAACTTCTTCAAGACAAGACTCAACAGCTCCTTCAATGACCTGAAGGACAACCTCTGCCATCCCCTACTCATAAGTACAACCCAGGACCGGGTTGTACAACCCATGGCCGGGACAATGTGTAAATGCCACATTATGCCTGTCCCAAAAACCTGCCCCCAAATCTGTCCTGTGGAACAGCGGCTGACTATTACTGCAGATCCTGGGGATGTGAAACTTTGGCTTTAGGCTGGGGTCTGGGGAGAAGAAATGACCCTCTAATACATTTACACAGGCATATCACTCCCTGACCTGGAAAATGTTATGATCCTGAAAAATGTAACCCGACCACCATACCTCTTCCTCCAGCAAGGTGGTTTATGTGCAGCACTAGGGGAAGATAGCTGTTTTTATGCTAATAGATCAGGAGTCATCAGAGAGAGTATTCAGGTTCTTAGAAAGCACCTCGCAGAATGGGCCAGAAATGAAGAGGCCCCTAATAACTGTTTTAAAAATCTCTATAACTGGTCCCCTTGGCTCACTACTCTTCTCTTTGCTCTAGCAGGCCCCCTCATACTCCTATTTCTAGGACTGTCATGTGGACCTTTAATTACAAACAAATTAATAATTTTCATAAGAGAGAGGGTCCAATCTGTCAAATTATTAGTCCTAGCCTCTCATTACCAAAGGTTGCCATTAGACGAACAACAGAAATCAAAGATTTGATCTGTACATAAGACCAGTGGGGAATGTTATAGGTGGCTTTAGCCCCACCAGAAATTAACCAGAATTTGACCTCCACTGGGAATTGGAAAAGTAACATCCTTCAGCTGTAAATAAGGAGAAAGTGAAGCTTCCTTTTACACCATAAAACTGTAACTGTTAAGAATATATGTATTGCACCTGGCTAACTCTCTGTCACAAACTTGCTAATTAGTGCTTGTTTAACCCTGATTCTAAAAGGGCTGAAAGTCTGCTAAGGGGTGCTGCAGTTCTTCTCTGTGAAGGTTGGCTGCAGTCCTTGAGCAGGTAATAAAGCTCCTAATATTCAAAATTACTTTGTGTCTGAGTGAGGTTGATTCTCCTGGGTTACAACAAGTTCCTATGAAAGACAAACATTTTGTACCACCACCTTTTCTCTCTGTTAGGATTATTACTTGATCTAGGATTCAGTATTAAAATAATTTTTTTTTTTTGCCATTTCCACTGGATTTTTTTCATCTTTCTTTGGATGACTCCAGGACCCCTGGCTGCCCAGTTCTAAGAGACTCTAAAGATCCTCTAATTTAACTCCTTTATTTTCAGATCAAGAATCAAGGCTCAGAGAGGTAAAGTAATTTGATTAGGTTCACCCAGTCAATTGATAGCAGAATCAGGCCCAAACTCAGGAAGCCTGACTTTCCTTTTAGGTACTCTTTGTATGATACCACTGTGCATTATTTCCTCAGTGATTATTCTAGGGCAAAGCAAAACTTGGGCACTGAGTAATTTACAGTTTCTTTCCATCATTGGCATGCCTTCCTGAAATGATGGAAATTTAAATGTAAATGTATTTCAGAAGGTAACGATTTGAAGCCCTGATTCTAGTTGATCAATTTATTTTCTGGCTAGTACTAGTTTGTCCTTTCCAATAGATCTTTAATATATTCTAGCAGGTGGGATGAGTCACTTATGAGTGGACAGAGGTTCTTTTCCCACCTCTGCAGAGAACTCAGTGAGGTGATGGGGATGGTAATATTACCTGGCCAGCAAATCAAGTCACCAAAGGGTTTCATGATCCCTCTATATAGTCTCAGAAGAGGAGAACAAAGGGAGCTTGGTTTCCTGAAGCATCTTCCTCTCTGTATTGTTGGGTATAGATACACTCATTTAAAATCTGAAGAGCTTGTGGAGAAAAGGGGACTCTAGTACACTGCTGGTGGGAATGCAGACTGGTGCAGCCACTATGGAGATCAATATGGTGTTGCCTCAAATTTAAAAATTAAACTGCCATTTGACCCAGTCTTCCCACTTCTAGGAGTATATTATAAGAAACCTGAAACACCAACCAGAAAGAATATATATAACCCTATATTCATAGCAGCACTATTTACAATTGCTAAGATCTGGAAACATCCCAAGTGTCCATTAATAGATGAGTGGATAAAAAAAGTAGTGGTACATATACACAATGGAGTACTATGCAGCTGTAAGAAAGAAAGATCCCTTATCCTTTGAGATGACATGGAGGGACCTGGAAAGTATTATCCTAAGTGAAACAAGCCAAACAGAAAGACAAGTATTATATGATCTCACTTATTTGTGGAATATAATGAACATAACATTCTGAGGAATGGGGTAGTCCCAGAGATGTGGAAGTGGGGTGCAGACTGACAATCCCCAGAAGAGGGGGTGGTGGGGAGAGATAAACCACCTATCTTATATGCATGTGTGCATGAACAACGAACAGGGACACCAAAGCTTGGGATAGCACGGGGAGGGAAGGTGAGGGGGAAATCAGTGGGGAAAAAGGAAAAACATCTGTAACAAAAACAAATAAATTAATTAAATTTAAAAATGTGTTACATCTGTTCACAAAATTAAATTGATGGAAATAAAAATCTCTGGTACATATACACAATGCAACACTATGCAGCCTAAGAGAGATCTCTTATCCTTTGAGAAAACTCGGAGTGACCTGGAGAGTATTATGTTAAGTGAAATAAGCCAATCAGAGAGAAACAAATACCACACAATTTTACTTCTGTGTAGAATATAATAAACTGTAAATGCTGATGAACAAAATAGACCAGAGACATAGAAAGGAGTATGGTTCAGACTGACAAACTTCAGTGTAGGGGAAAGGGGGGGTGTGTGGGATGAGATAAACCAAAAAACTTATATGTATGTATGCATAACCAATGGACATATACAACGATCATTTTGGGGTGGTGGTGTGATAGGAGGAATGTGTCTGGGGGAACATCTGTAATAAAGGTAAATTAATTAATTTAAACATATATTCTGGGAGGATTCAATAGTAGATTAGAAGAAGCTTAAGACGGAATCTGTAACTTAGAAGGTAGAAAAAAACACCCAATTAGAGCAGCAAATGTGGAAAAAATTAAAAAGCAGGAAGAGAGTCTAAATGAGCCTTGGGACAACACAAATCTTAACAAGATTTGCATCATAGGGGTACCAGAAAGATAAGTATTGGACAAAAGACTAGAGAACCTGTTTAAAGAAATAATGACAGAAAACTTCCCTAACCAGGTGAAGGAAAAGTTCACATAAGTCCAGGAAACACAGAGAGTCCCAGTCAAGATGAACACCAAAAGCCTAGACACATTATAATTAAAATGGCACACATTAAAGACACAGAAAAATCTTAAAGACATCAAAAGAGAGACAGAAAGTTATGTACAAGGGAGCTCCCATTAGACAGTCAGCTAATTTCCAAATAGAAATACTACAGGCCAGAAGGGAGTGGCATGGAGTATACAAAGTAATGAAAAGAAAAGGATTGAAATCTAGACTACTCTATTCAGCAAGGCTATCAATCAAAATTGAAGGGGAAATACAGAACTTTACATAAAAAAAAAAAAAAAGCTAAAGTAGTTTACTACAACCAAACCAGCAATGCAAGAAATGA